CGAGCATTTAGTCTAATTTTTTTATTATAAAAGAAACGAATTATTTACAAAATTATTTTTTGATTGTAAGTTATAATAATATTAAATAATATTTTCCTAAAATATTTACTTAAGATGGAAAAAGGAGAATGAAATTATACTTAAAATATGGCCCCCATATATTTATGGTATATAATTTATTCTATATCCTTGTCAATAAAAGAAACATGTAACGTCAAAATCAAAAAAAACTAACAAAAAAATTTAGAAGGTAAAAATTATAAACAAATAACGGAGCTTTTATCGCCTAATAATCTCATTTTTTTTATATTGGACATTAAATGTTTTATTATTAATAAAAGCAACGAATTAAGTACATATCATGTTTAGTAAATCTAGAATAAATATAAAAACTTAATAAAAAAAATTGCGCTTGTGTGTACCCATAGTCCATGTGTCGCCTTCCTTTTCCACTACAAACCGTCAAATATACAATTATAAGAATAGGGGATGTGTGTATATTATAGAATTAGTTATGTTAAAGGTCTATGAAAAAATATGAAATTTTAAAGGTCTATGAAGAAATATGATTAGAAAGAAATTTTTGAAAAGGATCTCTATTAAGGTAATTTAGAAACGCAATCCTAATAAATTTTATATTTTTCAAATTTAGAAGAAAATTGACATTGACGTTGATTATTGTATTAGAGTTTTTTTTTGATACTTTAAAATATTGATTCAATTTGGGCACTCAAAGAAAAGTTGTTACTTCCTTTATCGGATTCGATCTTCAGAATGTCTCGTATAGACTCAAACCTCCATAGCTGAAGACTACTTTCAAATCTCAGACCAATAATAATTCTTAATCAAAAATACTGCGTAAATTATTATTCAAACGTGGCGACACATTATACTGTTCTCAAAAAAAAAATCTTCTAGAATTGCTATAAACCCTGTCCTCTTCTAATACTGAAGTAATTTATTTGAGCAGATATGACATCAGAGTTGACATGAATGACTAACACTCTATTTATTTTCCTTTTTTTTTGAATTTTTCAAACATACTCTAGTAATATTTTTTGTAATTGGTCCACCGCAAAAATTAAATTAAAATCAAATCTAAAAATTTAAAAAATCAAAAAATCTATACAAACTTTAATTTATAAAATATTTCAAAAAAAAAAGTATGCATAAAAGTGTTAATACTCAAATATAGAGTCCAAACAATGCCTATAGAGAAATCAAATCAATTCAAATTCAAACTATTCTCTATTCTGAATGAATTGTAATTGTTCATGTTGACACCATTTTGAATTACTCTAAATCTATACCATAAAGTATACAAATGCACCCTTCTATCCTCCTTAATAATTTCTGGTTTAGTTTTTTTTTTTTATTTTCTGGTATATTTGTGGATACCTTAATATTTACCATTATATTTAACTGCTGATATTGTATTTTATCTACATGTTTGTTTAAAACTTTTGTATAAAAATTTTGTTGTTCCATTTTGGTTTGCTTTTTTATCTCGTTCTTAATTTTTCACTATTTTCATTTTTATTCTATAGAAATTTCTAATACCTACGTAATACGTAGTATAAGTGATGTAAGGGCATATAGGTACAAAATTTTATAGTATGGGCAGAGATATTGTAAAAATTGACTTTTAAACGAAAATATTAAATTTATGTAAATAACAAAATATGCCAATGTATATGTAAATTAATAGCCCTGGTAAATATTAAAGTGGTAATGAATGTAATAAAATTAGAATCGGTCTACATGTAAAATGTTGATCAAATATTCAATAATTTCAAATATTTATGATAATATTATTATTTAATTTATTACATGGTCATTTAATGTTTAAGAAAATATTATAGTGTGCAGTATAGGCAGTATAAGATTGCTTGTGAAAATTTTTTTAAAACCCACAAAATACTCAAATTCATATATTATACAAATTGAATGAGTCTTATATCAATGGTGTTGATTTTATTCAAATTATAAAAATTACGGGCATAAAATTTTTTCTTAAATTAATTGAAATTTAGAATTAGCCCTCGAGTAAATTAGCTGTTCATTACAAAGATATATTGGTGAATTAATTTTACAAAAAACCTGTAAATGCGTCCTTGATTCAAATTTATTTAAAAAAAAATAATTATTTAATATCAGTAAAATACCTACATTACTCACAAATTGAAAACTCAAAAAAATATGATGTAAATATTCTACATAAAGAATAACTAAATTTACTGGACTATAGCTCTGGTAGTAGTTATTTTTCTCAGTGTGAAGTTGGTTATTGGCACACACATGTACCTGTTTTTTTTGGAAACAGGTTTTGCATTTAAATATTTATTTTTTATTACGATTATTGTTTCTTGGGTACCTGCTTTCAATCAAGTTTTACTGTCAAATTCGATATTAAATGAAACACATACTGCTTACCAGGGTATGTTGGATGTGCGAAATAAGTGGTATACAAATCCAATCGCTTAGAATGTATAAAAATATAATATATGTATGTATATATTTAAACAATTTTTTTCATTCTTCAATATTAATTAATATTATTTAGGAAGCTTTGAAAATTTCAGTTCATCTGAAACTCTAGAAGCAATGAAAGTTAACTGTTAAAATTGAGAAACACACCCGGGTAAGCGTGTGTCAACAGAGCAGTTAAAACAACGTTTAATTGTAAAATGTTTTCCATTTTCGCTAATTCTGGCAAATAATATTTGATTAATCAAGTAAAATTTCCTTACTACTTATTATTACCACAAATTTTTGCACTATAGGGTTATTTTCATATAAGCATTACTTAAATATTTTCAATATTAAACTGCTATTCATATTTAATGTGATTGAATTCAGAAATTCACAAAACTAATGTAATATTTTGTAAAACAATTATGGTCTTATAAAAAACCTTTAAAATATTAAAACTCCTTTCTTTTATATTATTATTAGATTTGGTTCTGGTCACAAATGTCTAAGAAAATAATCTGTTTCCTAAATTTTAAATTGTAAATAATTTAATTTTTTACTAATGCATCAGCAAAAACCATGCTGTTTTATTTGATCTTCAAAACTCCAAATTCATGATTAATAACCGGCGACAAATTCGAAGTTGAGGAAAATAACGGTTTACAATTACCATTAAGCAACACTATTTACCAATTACTATACTGTACAGTTCACCCTCATGTTAAACTCTGCTCTCTCGAGATAAGACGACTTTCAATGCAATTTTCTTCTAAATTTAAAATATATTTTGAACACGCATAATTATGCATGTATTAACAAATGTTTGCTTAAAATCAGTAATTATTATTCTAAAATAATTGCGGTTAATGGTTAACACAAAAAAAAAAGAAAACTTTTTCACAATGGTAGCCTTAAAATTACTAGAGTGAATTGGAAATTCATTTTCGATTTGAAAAGTAAATGGACTATGTCCTTGTCCATATCAAAATCTAAAACGTATAGTAGATTACAGTGTGTATGTAGATAGTAACGTATATTAAACACTATATAATTTCAATGGATATTGTTCCTATACCTAAACTTGGTGTATTTAGATCAAACAAACATACATGCATACGATGTATAAAATTAAATATACAAAAACAAATATGCAAAATATTTTAATATTCCCTCTCTCTTCGTTTTGTCTTTATTTTTATGGAAAAAATAAAATGAAAATTATTGAAGGGAAAAATAAATAGAGAAAATATGATTAGAAAATATAATTGTATTTTGTTTTTTCTTCTTGTTTTTATTATTTTCAAACAAAATAATTGTGAAACATTGAAGTGCAGGTTAAAAGAAAAACTTGTAGTTTTGAAAATTTCTTTTTCTGTATTGTTTAATTTTGAAAAAGGATTGAATTTTGTATACCTTTTAAAAAATAAAATATTACTGAAAAATTGATTATTTTTAAAGACAAAAGTTATACATAATTTAAAAAAAAATTACATTGTAACTAAAAGTATATTTGGAGCTAAAGAACGGCCATACCTGGTTATAAATGAAAAAATTTTAACTTATTCCTTTAAGATAAGTGTTACAAGTACCAATTGCAATGGCATTCAATTGGATTAATAACTAGATTTATTTACAAATTATTATGCCATGTTTGTTATTAGAATTTCGAGAAATTGTTTGTCATCATATTTATCGCAATTATTTGATCAGGACTTTGTGAAAGCTTTAACATTTGATTTAAGATTTCTTTATTGGCAAATATTCTAAGAATATTTTATGAAATTGATTAAATTGCATTTTAATTTAAATATTTTATCTTAAAACTGGGAGAAATTCAAATTTTCTCCGTAGTTCTTAGAACAAGGTTAAAAATATTTGGACATGCTATGAAAAATTAGCGCTATTATAAGAACCAAATATAATTGTTATAATGAAATATAAAAGCGAATTTTGTTATTGATACTGGAGACTATACCGCAATACTATAAACATATAGGGTCCTTCAAATAAAAAACTGAACTGATTAAAATTATAGTTTAAAATATATTTGGATAATATGAAGTGCATCATATGTATTTTACATAATAAAATTGATTTACGCTTAGTCTATGGCTATACTCCCGTGTCTCCTAGAAATTTTAGAGTTATATTAAAAATTTTCAAATATATAAGATTTGTGAATCTGTTATTGCTTGTCTACAGCTAGTCTATGCAATTAATTGTCCATTTTAATATACGTATTAATTTTAATATCTTCAACTGAGCAAGTAGGTATCTCTGTACAAGTTCGACAAGCAAAAAATTATCAAAGAAATTAATAGCTAAACAATACCCCCCTAAATTGAAAATTTATTTTCATAGAGAAGCAAAAACCTTAGACTTTTTTGACTTTATTAACATATCAAACTTTAAAATTATTTTTTATAAAATTTTGAAAACCCAAATTTATTTTTTCAAACTAATTTTTTTTCTTTATATTTCAATTTATTTTTTTGCATCAAAAAAAAAAAAACAAAAAACTAAAACAGGAAAACCAGTTTCTTGGATCATGATTTCACCATCTGTTACACCACGAAAAATGAGTGTCGGTTCAAATAATCCTGCTATGCGGCTTTATAAATTTGATACGGATTCTGGTCAGGTCAGTATACATATATACAAACATAATCTACATAACATAAAAATAATAGAAAAATAAAAAAAATTTAAAATATTATGGAAATTGTATAAGAAGATGTGTGATTGGTTTTAAGGATGTTTATCGTTACATACGTGCAGATATTGTGTTCTTTGATACATATATGTATATCTATGTGGATGTGTAATATATTATAATATAATACAAGCATTATACTATAAATTACAAAAATAATACACTTGTTCAATGCTGTATCACAACAAGACCATATTCCATATAAAATACTTAAAGACCAAAACGATTCTTAGAAATTTTTTAAAGTAAAATAGAATTTAATTTTAAAGAATTCATTTTTATAAAGTTACATAAAATATAGAGCAGTAAGTTCCAAATATATAGAAAATTATTTCATCTATGTTATGTGTTTAAGATTTTAGTGGCAAGCTGAAAAATAATAAAAATAAATAAGAAAAATTTTTATGACTGAAGTAATTATGAAACATTTGTACATGGAAATTTTAAATGAAATCTTGAAAATATGGCACTGTCTTGAATTTTGACAAATACTTTGCAGGAAATTCTATACGTACTTGTATAAAATTTCGATTTCTTCTTTGGTTACTACTAAAATTAATTATACAGGGTTCTTTGATCAATTTTGATCAAAAAATTGTATGGGTGAGAGTGTTAGAATCATCCCTGAAATTATTTGCCACCTTGTGCGAAAGACCCTGTACATTTTACTAATTTGAAATTTGCTTAAGAAAAATAAATCAATTTTAAATTTTATATGCAGCATTTAAAAAAATGCAGTGCCTGTTACGAATTGTAAAGACACAAAATTTTCACTTAACGCGTTCAATATAATGAGGACAATAATCTTATATCTAGTTCAATTTTTGCAACATTGTAGCAAGCATATTTAAATGTACTTTTCAAAATGCCTTTAAGCTAATTCAGGTTGATAGTACAAAAATATAACTGATTTAATTTACAACAATATGCCAATGAATTTCTGGGGTGTTTATCAAAGACAAAAATTAAAAAAATTTACAAAAATAAATTATACAAATAAAATTTTATTGCTGTTATTCCTACTGATCATTGTCATACCAAAATTTTCGGAAAATTCCTTTAGCAATTAAAAATTAAAAATTTTAATTTTTCTTCAAAAAAAAACAAAATCAATTATTTATCATAGAAAATTTTCATAGTTATGTAAGTAAAATAAATTGTTATCCTGTGATTGTCCTTTTTTTTTCTTATTCAAATATTATTCACTTGAAAAATTCTGCAGATGGCAACAAAAAACCATTCCATTTCCATTTTTTTCCTCATTTTTTTTTTCTTTTGCTTGTTTATTTTTGCTTTTATACTATTTAATAATATTCATACATGTATGTTTGTAGGTATAGTTTATTTAAATTGTAAGAAAAAAAAAACAAAAATAAGTAGAGTTGAACGTGTCAACTTTGTGATACTCATACGAATTAAGGATTTTAAGTGCTGTGTGTTAATTGCCGCACTGTTTCGCTCACATACTCCAGATTTTTTATATCTGTACTGTTTTAATACAAAAATAGCTGTTACCACATACACTTATACTATTTCAAAGAAATTTTATTGAAAATAAGGAGTATACTACCATATTCGTTATGAAAATTTTCAGTTACACTTAAATAGTTTCTACAATATACGACCCAATGACTTTGGAAGTTGTAACATTTGTGAAAATTTGGTGAGCATAGCTCAATTAAATTTTGAACTATCGTTCAGACGGAGGGACACACGGTCAGGGAAATGGTTAGAATGACTCAGAATTCGTCGCTGATCAAAAACGTACACTAATGTCTATATTTCAGACCATTATTTCTTAGCGTTGCAAACGGTAAGGCAAATTTAGTATACGGCTATGAAAACTATGCCATATGATAAAGGAAAGGATTTCAAATTATTTCTTCTTTCATTCTACATATTACAGTCTAAATAGCAAAAACAAAATTTAGAATTCGTACCCCCCCCCCCCACCCATTCTTTTTCTATTTCAATTTTTTTATTTTTTTTTCTTTCTTCCTTATTGACGGTTATAACATTGTTATTCTTATTTTTTTTTTGTATTTTCAATTTGGTTTTTGATTCTCCCTTTTTAAACAGAAAAGGATCTGCTTATATAGTCTACATATATTTGACTTCATTTGCAAAAATTACAAAAGAAAAAAAAAGGATAAAATTTATAATAACTTAACAAAAAAAAACAGCATAGGACAAGGTACTAATGTTTAGTATACAAAATGGGTGGGTATACAAACTAAAAGGAAAAATAAAATATCAATAATATAAAAATGAAATCAAAATCCTCATGTACACAATATTAAATTGTAAGGATAATATATGTACGTACATTATAGATAGCTATGTGAAGAAAGTTAAAAAGTAAAAATTTTAAAAAAGGAAAAATTGAAAAATTTTTTTAAGAAAATGTATTCTATTGAATTAGACCAAAATCAAAGAGAAAATTCCTTGTTCCATTTTTATTTTTTTGTTTTTTTTTTTTTATTATATTATTTTATTTCCCAATTTTTTCCCACATATAACCAATACAATAATAAAATATGTAGGCTTTTTTGATATTATTATTGTAATAGTGTTGTTGAGTGTAATTTTCTTTTCTGTTAGATTTTGATTTTAAACACTAAAAAGGATTATTTTCATATTTCTTTTTTCTCTTTCTCTTCATTTCTCTATTCAATTCTATTTTCAACTCAATATGGCTTCTTTTTATATATAAATGTTTATTATAAGGCATAATATTGTATTATCCTGTAATAGAATTACCAATATTAAGAACAAGAACAAAAATAAAAAAGTCTTATACAATATAGTATATGGAAAAAAAAATGTAATCGAAAATCTTATACATATAATAATGAATATAAGTGAAAAATTCGAAGAAAATCAAAAAAAGAAAACATTGAATAATAAATTTTATAAGTGAACTAAGAAAAAAAAAATCTTGGATTACATGAAAGTGAGAAATATTAAAAGTATTTAAATAAAATAATCCTTTATTTTATATAAATAAAGTTTGAATAAATTTAGAGAACCCATTGGGGTTTTATCAAAAAATATTATTAGAAGTTATAAATTATATGGGAATTGAAAATAATATTCAAAAAACGTAATAGATTTAAATATTGTGGGAATATGATTTAGTATGGACGAATAAATTAGTACAATTTAATATTTTAATGTACTTTATGCTTTAACATACAATTTTATTTTGATTTATTAATTATAAAAAATTACAGGATTGAAATCTTTCATATTACACAAACCTACCTATTCAAATAAAATTTGCATACTTTGCGGGGCACAAAAAATTTATAAATTTAAAAATTTTATAAAAATTCTAATTTTAAATTGAAAAAAAAAATTAAAGTCATTGAATTAATTTTATTATTTCATTTAAACAGGTTTTGGATTATACACAATATTATTTGGATTTAAATTTAGCAAATTCAATTGGTGATCCAAATTGGTTACCAGAATATAATTTAACTCATTATTATGGATTAACAGATATATCAGCAATATCTTTACATAATTTAGCAGATCGATTTACAACAAGCGATAATTCTTGGTTTCCAAAGTGAGTATATTTTTCTAAATTATTAATACATATATTAAATTTTTTTTAAGTTCTTGATTTTTGTAATTTTAAATTCATAATGTGACTATACTATAGCTATATTATATACTTTTGTTTTCTTTTACAAAAGAATGTAGAAATGGGTAAATACACTTCCATATTTGAGGAGCTCAGAAGTAAAGAGGCCTAACCCATACTCCCAAAAATTTAGCCACAATATGTAGGTTAGGCCACTTTTGAACTGAAAAAAGTTAAATTTTGGGTTTAGGTATAAAAAAATGACGGAATATAGGAAGTGACTTTTTTGTAGATAAAATTAAATATGGGAATTAATTTTATAACATTTCTAACAATATAGCAAAAATATTGTTTGTGAGTATTAGTTCAATTTGCTTCTGAGCCTCTAATTCATGGGTTAGAGTCAGCTGGAATACTAAGTTAGGAAAATTATTAAATTACTATGGTAACTAGATCGAACAAAATCCATATTTTAAATACGAGTAATGTTTTTAAATTCTACCTGAAATTAATTATATTACTTTTTCTCTTCCTGGTACACCTTTTTTAGTGTCTAGCCCTTTGATAAAATTTTCTTCTTATATGAGACAACAAAAATTGCAGTTTAACATTTTTGTGTTTCAATTTAGTTCACTTAAAATTATTGTTAAGAAAAATTTGTATAGGATGTTGATAATTGAGGAATAAAAGGGTTAAGAAACTAAATTTCAATAATATTAATATTTGATTGTTTTGAATTTGATTTTCATTTTTACAAACTCATAAAAAAATTTTCAAACTAGTAAAGCGCAATGACGCAACAAATTGAGCTTTACGACCACAAATCGATTTCCGTGGTTATCTACGACAGCTAGTGAATGATATACTCTTCCCAGGAGCGAAGTAGGATATAAAAAATAAAAATACTTTTATGGGTTTGTTTTTACATAATTGTAATTTTTATGCCACAGGTATAATTTCCACAGGTTCATGTTTTAGAGCCAAAAATTTGTATATGTCACTAAAATTTTATTTTTGAAAAATTTCAAAAATTCTTCACAAGAAAAAACAACTCATGAAAAACCCAGTTGTAATCGTAGTATTTTTCTTTTTACATAACTGAAATTTAAATATGGTAAATAGCTTCTCTCCATATATATATCGTAATAATACAATAACTATATATATGTATATGTTTGTAGTCTAAAATTATTTAATTTTATTATTGAGCTTTAAAGAGCATGGACAGAAACTATGCCGTGACACAAAATGTAACATGCAATATAATTTTAACAATATAATATTCAAGAGTCTTTATTTTTTCTATTAAATAATTTTTACTGCATAATAAAACATTTTAAAATGAATATTAAATTTTTAAATTAAAAGCAAATAATTTGAAAATGAATATTCTAGTTATAATGTCGTGCAAACAAATTTCATTTTCATAAATTTTACAAAAACGAAAACAAAAAATATTTTTTTTTTATAAATAAAATGAATTTAAATTTTACAAATTTTAAAATTTTATACATAATAATTTTAAAAGCAACGAATCGTTTTAGATTTCTCAAGGCTATTAGAAATAATTTTTGTTTTAATTATAAAATAAAATTATAAATAAAATAATCTAACCAAAGAAATTATTTCAATCGTTATTAGCTATGTTAGCGTGCCTCAAACTATATACAATAAAATTTTCTTATAAAATAAATTTTTATCGAAAAAATCTTTAATAATTTTACCAAATATAATAATAGTATGTTTAATGCATACTTATAATTCCATGTTGGTAACTAGTTTGTGCGATAAAAGCCAATTTTCTTAAAATGTTTTAATACCTTAATCGGACATCTTAACCAGGTACAATAAAAATTATATAAATACCAGATATCAGCCTAAATGAAAACAACTATCTTAAAATAATATTATAATTATTGTTAATTACCTTTTTAAGAATGGACTATTATTATTCCTAAACAACATGGTTATATGTAAACGAAGCTATTATTGTGATAGTCTGTGACTGAATCAAAAATGCGTTAAACAATAACGCAATATGTACATATGAAATATTTTTTTCCCTCATTTTCCATATTATGTGAATGTTATGTAGTCAAAATTAAAGAGAGTGGTTGTGTTTAAAGGAAGGAAGTGTAACCATTCAACAAAATCATTCCAACAGTACTCACAAAGTACTCACATATAGAAAAAAATCTAAAATCTTCCATTAGTTAAAATTCGCCTTTGTAATCCTGATATTGCCAAAAGAACTTATGAGTTCATTGTTTTAACGCCGCGAATTTAAATTTCAAAGCAAATTGTTTGATTATTTCTCTGTAAATGCGCAAAAATACAATTTGGCCCGCAGCATGAACGAAATATACTTATAATATGTATTTAACATATTTGTATATCTAGTATATTTCTGGAGTAAAAGAACAATTACTGATATCTGATAACTTCCAAAGGTTAGGGGATTTCTCCTACTGTCTTAGAAATGTTCAAAAATTACAACCGTACACAAAAATTACAAAAATCGAATCGTAAAAATATCCAGTTCCTAAAAGCCGACACATCTCTTAAAAGTTCATCAACATTATAGCCAAAATAAATTCATATCCAAATTATGATTAAAATCGATTCAGATAAACTTGACAGATCGACAAACTTAAAAATAGTTCGCTTGCAAACAGTTTAATCACATTTCCAAGATTTATTTCAAAACTTTTTATTATCACATTTAAACTGTTATATAATTCACTTAAATTCATTAAGTTTATTCATAAATTTAAAAAATGACTGGAAAAAACATAACCCTAAAATATTCACTTTATTTATAAAACGCACAAAACTAAGATTGTACTCTTTACACTATATGTGTGTATGTATGTAGCTTTTAATAGGATTTTTCATAACAAAATATTTTGAAATGATTTAAGTTCCATGTGAAGGACGTGTTCACTTTGATTATATTTTGTTTTTGCTTTATTTAAAAAAAAATTCGATTTTATTTCTCTAAAACCATCGCAATTTTATCACTTTAAATAACAAAATAATTATGGTTAAATATAAAAGGTTATTTTCTTAAAATTCTTAACATTTTTCTATTTTTTTTATATTTATAACCAAAATAGTATTACATCAAATTTTATAACACTACTTATACATTTCCACTTTAGTACAAAATAGTAAAGATGTTACATGTTATACGAGTATACAAAATAGAAAAAAACAACGCACATAATTTTCACACTTTGGCCTTTAAAAGTTATTTTTGTTATTTAAGCTAAAATTCTGTACTACTATTATACATGTACAATGCTAAAAGACAAAAAATAGCAATTTAGAATACGTGACATAATAGTAATACTTATACTTAAAGGACAACAATATAACATTAAAAACATTTACACAATATGAAGAAAATGTCAACATTTTTGCACCATGACTTATTATCTGTATCTGTTATAAATAAGTCTATATACATATGTATATACATCTACTTTATATTGTATAAATAAAAATAAATTTACAAAACTTAGTCAAGTATATAGACAAAATGTTTTTATATAATAATATTATATAAAATTTACTTGAGTGCTTGCTTCTATGTGTAGTAATTTGACTTTCACACTTGAAATGTTTTTTTTTCTAAATATAAATAATATTACAGTTATGTAAGAGAAGAGTGTATAAGTAAATTTTAATAAGATCATATGCATATTATATAGAGTATAACACTTTCTCTATAATTTTGTTTTTTTGTATTTTATTTTTATACGAGTATAGCTAGTGTTTTTAGAGTCTCTAATTTTAGTTAAAACTTTTATATTACACAAATAACTATAAATTTTGTGTGTTTATTCTAAAAATGTAATTTTAAAGTAAAGTAATAAAACTTAAGTGAATAAACTATATTATATTACATTTCTATCTATAATATTATACTGCACACAAACAAACAACTTTTATACTTTTCAACAAGTTAATAGTTAGTTTTTAAAAATAAACTTTTCTAATATATTTTATAATTTAATATAAAATGAAAATATATAGATCTATATGTATAGTTGCACGTTCAATATAGATATAATTATGAAAGTGTTAAAATTCTTTTATAATACTTAGTTCGATTTTAGAAATTTTTAAAATATGAGATCCAAATTTTATTTCTGAAGTGATTTAAAGTTAAAATCTATTGTTCAAGATTTTCCATTTACAGGGTCTCTCATATCAAAGTGCAATGGCAATATGCATTGCTAATTACAAATTATTCATTGTATCGAGAAGGATGTCGGGGCATACTGTTTAGAAAACAAGTCACAACCGGGCCTGGTCATTTGATTCCGAAATCTTAACAGATCATAATTATTGTAAATATTCATTAAAAACTCTTATTCTGAGATTTATTGAATGATTTGCCTATCTTACACAGGCACGTGGTTACATTTATAATTCCAAAAAGTAAAAAAATCATTCGAGATTGATTTTAATCCTCTGTAACTCCGAATCTGTTGAGCTTTGAACATCATCTCCGTACAAAAGTTTTGTCTACTAATGAGGATCTATACAGTGATAAAATATATCACTGCAATTTGATGCGAAACACCCTATATATACTTCCTGCTTAATACGTATACATATACCTTAATATTTTTAGTTTTAAATAAATTTATAGTGCATACCAATAAAATTTAAGCACCAATTTTCAAGTCAATCGATATTGATACGATTTTCTAAATCAATAATAATTACCTTTGAATATATGGTTTCTTTAAAGTGTACTACAGACATTTGAGAAATGCAGAAAATTTAATTTCCGATAACACAATGTTATATTGATTAAAATTTTGATAAAGTTTTTTTTTTTGAAATGTAGTACTCGTAATTTGCAATCGAACTATAGGTCAATTTATAAGTTAATGTCAAAAATTATAGAAGATGGTCGTCTATTGTCTTTAGCTAAACTGTCATATTAATACTAGAGGGATCATATGACCAACGTACCTGTAAGGATAATACTGATAACCGTAGGAAGAGTAAAAATAAATTCTTATTTTAATTTCTAAATTATTTTTTTTGGAATTTAAACAAGACGAACAACTTTATTGGTTGGAGAGTGCTGTGCTTGTAATTTCCTATTATTTTTATTTTGTCATTTGATACAATATGCGGTTAGTAAATTTTTTTCGAAAATTCTGATGGAAAATAAATGATATAATACTCGTATGCATTACATATATGCTCACTTATAGAACTGTTTCCAAGTTGTTGTATGCACAAACGCTAATATTTGCATAAATTTACATAGTTGTTCACTCAAAAAACAAAACACAAGAATTAAATTCACATATACAGCTAGTATTAACAATGGAAAGTATTTGCTTAGAAAATTAAATTATGTATATTATATATACATACATAGATAGTTCATTCGATCACTTTATCATCATTTTCGAGATATTTTAACCACACGCAATGTTAAAATGCCACACATGTAATAGGTATGCATAATATGACCTGATTATTTTTAATAAGAGTTCCCTATTTAAATTTTATTTTTTTTTTACTAAGTCTTATGCTTTGTATGTATACGGACATTATCATAATCAATAGTTTAGTTCAGACAAATTTTTAACCCTGCATGATTTTTTATAGTTCAATTAGTTCCAAAAATTATTTTTAAAAATTAATAAGTTTCATAGACCTTATTATTGAAAATTGCATAAAATACTGTTTACTGTTTAATTGCATAAATAACTGTTACTTGGAATTCCAGCGTGCTCTTTTAATAAACCTATAATGATTCAAAAAAAATGCGGTCTTAAAAGATTGCCATAACTATACGATTCAGCTATTTAAATCGTATACCATAAACTACAAATGCCAAAAAGGATAATATTGGGCTTATTGCAGTATTTGCTATGTAGATTTGTCTCCGCGATTAAAAAAATGTACTGTTCCAACATTTATATAAATATTTTTTTTCATTAAATCAAAGAACAATAAATATTTTTAATAATGAGGGTCCTAAACTCATTATTAAAAATACTACTCGTATTAATTCAATAGATTCGTGCCAAAGGGTTAAAGTTTGTATGATTCTAAAAATGGTATAGTTTCAAACAAAATAAGAATCTCAAATATTTACCTTATCATCGAAGAATTCTTTGTTCATAGTTCATACATATCTACATATTATAAAATATATTGTGTATTGTAAGGCGTAGTAGTAATTGTAAAGAATGAAAAATTTTTGCATATATTAAAATAAAAACCGCACCAAAGTAATGTTTTTAACATACCATAATAATTTTAAAAAACATAAAAAGAAGAAGAAAAATTTTAGTTTTTTCTCAAATTTTTTTACAGCCAAAAAGGTATATTTAAGTTATGGATGAATATTTTAGCTTGAAAATATTAAACTTAGAAATGAAATTATTTTTATGAATTGCAGACTTAAAGAAGGGATTCTCAGGGCTGAGATAGAGATGCAATTTTTAGTTTTGCAACTGTTTGATCGCTTATTTGTATTTTTATTCAAACTCATATATGTAACTGTATGATCAAAGCAGTATTTGCAGAACGAAAAGCTGTATGTCTGCGTGAGCCCTTAGGTATTTAAATCAAAATATTATGCTGAAACTTCTTTAACATTATAATTATGTTTAATATAATATTATAATGCTCAACGTTCTATAAAATATTATAATAATCAAATCTATGCAAAACGATCTGATGTTGAATAACATTGGTTATTGAACATGTTCGTTTGTACACAAGAAGTATGTATGATCTCATAGAAATTTCACAGATAATTTTTTACTATCATTAATGAAACTTAAAATTTTGTGTATTTTTATTCATAAATTATGAACTTTGGACTAATTTTGTTGTTATATTTAATTAGTTTTGTTCTGTAACACGCTTTTTGTCTCTTATGTTCGAACGAACAAATTGTATTATTGCATAACCTCTATAAACATAATGCTTACGAAATTACATATGTAATTCTTAAATGAATTTACCTTTTTAAGATTTCAATATTTCAAGAGAGAATATAAAGGTTGTTATTCCAATCATTTTAACAAAATAGGAACTTATTTACTTTTATAGAAAATCTTAAATATAATGCAGTTTAATGAACTTTATACATTTATAATAATTATTTTTGATCTATTGGAAATCACAATAATTTTAATATTTTTGCAAGCAAAAAAATCAATATAGCGCAGCAACAAAATATGAAATGAAAATTTAATCCTTTTCATTCTCAAATTTAAATACACGGTAAAATCAATTTTTTTTACATTCTTTCTTTGTGAATATAATTCGTCTTAAGCATATTATTTCAAAATAAAATTGAATAAAAATGTGCTCATTCGTTTCGTTATGTTGGTTCATATGTCCATGTGTTGTTTACAACATTTGTATACCCTTTAGTAGAAACTTGAAGTTTCTGACAAATGGATTTTTCTAAGAAACATAAGATTTCTAAATTGAAAAATATCTATATGCCTTCCCCTTGTGAAAGTAACGACATGCAAGCAATACTATATGAAAAAGCTACTTTTTAAATTTTCGACAAAAGCAGATACAGCATAGATGAGCTTTACATGATGAAATTACTCAGTTCTCAAAAATATGCCAACATAAAATATATTTATACGATGTTAAGAGAACAACATAAAAAGACAGAATAGTTTTAGCACTTTTCCGAAAAAAAATTGGAAAATGATCGATTGGAAAAAGATTTACCGTTAACAAAAATTTGTCTTCTATACCGCAGGGTAAAATTCGAATTTTGGCCATCATATTCCCGAAAATCCAAACTATTCCAAATTTCTATAAATACAGAAAGGGAAATTCCGTGCTATCAAAAAATATAATTATTTTTCTTATCTGACGCAATTAACCCTTGTATTCCAGCATTATGTTAGAACCTCTTCCAATGTTCTTTTTTTTTTGCCTCATCCTAAATGTATGCAATCAGTAAAATTTTTTCGTATGTAAATGAAAGTTCATAATTTCAATAATAGCTAGATTATTTTTAACAGCAGTATAATCAGTGTTGCTGAAGGGAAAAGTCCTTCCTTACAAACTGTTGGTTTGACTCAACTTTTTTTTAATGAAAATCAAAACTAAAGTATTTTTAACTAACATAAGATTTATTAGCACATTGATATTCTAACCTCCAGGATAAAGGCTAAAAAGTCAATTTATTAACCGTTAAGAGATGTAATTATCTAGATATGTGTAAAATGTAAGTATGCATGATTGCAAGCACTTAACATAAGCCATATTTCCCTCGACATTCTTCTTTATAAACGATCGATATAAATAACTTGCTTGTTACTTGCTTGCAATAAATTTATGAATACATTGAATACATATTGTATAATGAACAAATTTTAAAATGTTGAATGAATTTTTCTATACGCTACTTTCATTAACTCAATGTACTCTGTTACTGATTCAACAATATAGATAAAAAATTAGAAAAAAAAACAGTGTAAGTTTACTGACTTTAAGTTAAAACAAATTTCAGTTCTCCGTCATTTCTTGTTTGTTGTAAAAAAAAAAATTGTTTTCAGTTTATTTACTTAACATGAAAATAAGCTATTTATGCTTACAAGCATACCAACGTTTGTTAAGAAAAAATATTGATAACAACAAGAAGTTTTAATAGAAAAATAAATTACAACGTATTTTTTTGATATCCTACCTCTATGTATACCTACATAATATGTGCCATTTTAATAACGTTGTACTTTTAATTTGCGTGGCTTAACTGTATAATGTACAAGGCAGATATATATATTATAAACGTAAGTAAAATTTATAAAGACCCTTGTATCATTTCTATACTTTGTGCTTCTAACTATTAACCTTTGGTTCTTTAATTTGTTGGTTTGATTTACTCTTGCTTTGCCTTTTCTTAATTATGTGATAAATTCATATTTGAACAGTTGGTCTTTTTTAACTTAAAGTGTTTATTTTTTCACTATCGTCGCCGCTTTATTCTTCCATTTTCTTCCTTTCCTTTTTTGTTTGATTTAACTTCTGTTACTTATTTATTATCACGAATACTCTTTTTTTCTATAACAGTTGAAAAGTATTTAAAAACACGGTAGAATTAAATTTGAATTAATTATTTACTTTATTCAAAAAAATATTAATGAATGTAAGAATATTCTAAGCGTTCGTTTTAATTTTTTTTTTCGCTTTAAAAGGATGAAAAAGAGCAACAAACATAAAAATGTTTAACAAGTAGAGATAGGGGAAAATTTTAAATGTATAATAATTTAAAAAAGCCCTTTAAGGTATATGAATAAATTTTATTGTAGAATATTGTTTACATCAAAATTAAGAAAAGTGAAGAGAATGGACAAAATAATTGAGAGCTCTGGTAGTGAGATGAAGGCCGTATGATTAGTTTTTAAAAATTTTGCGAAAGTCACTATCGGTTTTGATACATGGAGAAAACTTGAATCGGTTAAGTAAAGAAACATAAAGTGATTTTTTGTTTGTGTATTCCTAATACATTATTTTAAATCTTAGTATGAAGAAGGGTGCCAACACGATTTCGAATTTTAAAAAATAAATTAGAGAGCTTTGAAAACGTCCTTAATCCTAATTTGCTATCAACTATTTAAAAATCAATGGGTCGAGAGCACAACAACTAGTCTAATAATAGTCTTTTCTAAATTTTGTTATAATAAAATTTTAAAATTTTAATGCGTATTTGCTTTTATAGCTAAATTCCAGTAAATTCAATAGAAATTTTACCAAAGATCGAAATTTATTATGTAGAAAACAAACTGTTGTACTTATTCCAAGACTGAAATTTTATGATATCAACAATTTAATAAAAATCTCTTTGAATAGCCATAAATCAATTATTTAATAACTTATTTGAATTATTTTATTTACAGATATTTACGTGCAAATACAGTAAGATATCAAACAGATTCTTGTGATGGATATTGTATACTAAATCATTATTGCGCGATAACACGAGTTGATTATATGGAATTTCGACAATGTCTTGAAAAGGAACAAAGTGCATTAAGATCAAGTTCAAGTGGCAAATTAACAGTAACAACAACATCATTTCTAAATTATTTAATGCCAATAATATTAATATTTATTAAAACAACATCACGACAACTTTTTTTAAAATTTTCATTTGATAGTATCATAAAATTAATTAATATTTTTATTTTAATAATTAATATTTTATTAAAATTATTCAAATATTTGTTGAAATTATTAAAATCAAAAAAATATTTTTGTATAATTAAAGAAATTATACATAAAATAAAATATAAATTTAATAGGTACCTTATTAATAATTATAGTATTAAAAAGAATTATTGTAATTATTTTAATAATAATAATAATAATAATAATAATAATAATAATAATGTAATAAGGTATTGTTATTATTGCAATAGTAATAATTTTATTTTTGAAAATTGTTATATTTGCTATCGAAAGCATAATATAAAACAATGTCATAATGAATTAATTACAAAAAATTTTAATAATAAAAATATTAATATAATAAATAATAATATTAATAATAATTATAATATTAAAAATACTAATAGTATTAAATTATTATGCAATTATATTAGAAATATTAATAATAGTAATAATAATTATAATAATAATAATGATCGTCGAAATGTTCAAATGATGAAAAATTCCAGAAAGTTTTATTACAATAAACTTATAATATTAATTATTGCATAACAATTACTGCAAAATAAATTATATAATAAAGTGGAAAAAGAACAAGAACAGCAAAAATATCAACAACAACAATATTATACAATAAAAATATTAATATGCCTAAAAATATTTATATTATATAACAATTATTGTAATAATAATTTAAAGAAAAATTTAGATAATGTAAATAGTTCTAAAAATATTATTAATAAATTTATTTTAAATAAATCTAATTATAATAATTATCGTAATAATTATAATAAAAATTTATATTATAAAATAAATGTGGTATGCCAAAATTATATTCATAAAAATTATATTCTAATTAATAATAAATTATTTTTTAGATTTTTAGCTCATTTAGTTAGATTAATTAATAGAATTTTATTAAAAATTTCAATTTATTGTAATTATTATTATCATCAATATTATTATTATTTTTTTAAATTTAAAAAATTATATTTAGCTCATTCTAAATTAAGCTATGATATTAATATTAATAATTTAAATAAATATAAAATAAATAATGTTCTAGTTAATAATTATAATAATTATAAAATAATTATAAATACTATAAATACAAAATTAATTAATTATAAAATATTTAATATTAAATTTTATTATATAAGCTTTTATTTTATATTTATGGTGCTATTATAGATAAATTAATCACTAAAATTTTGTAAATTTATTTAAAAATATTTTTAAATTTTTATTCAAATTTTGGAAACAAAAATTATTCTGCATTATAATTTTTAAATCAAATTCGACATTGGCTTTAAAATTATTGTTTAAAGCATTATTTAAGAAAAATTTGTTATTATTAATTATATTAATTACGAAAGATTTTAAAAATATTGGATTTTAATTCACTTTAAAAAATGTATGCATTAAAAAATTTCAAATTTTAACTTAAATTAATTTCAAAATTAAAATTAATAAATTTCAATTAAATCTTTTTCATAAATCTGCTTAATATTTTTTTGTAACAGTACATCGGAAGAAAAAATTAAAACTATTAATTATAAATTAATTATAACTAATTAGTATAATTGTGGGTCATTTGTAGTTCCAAACAGTTGAATAACACGACGTATTGGTTCTTTGATATTTCACTAATTTGAAAAAATTTAATTATTAATTAAAGAATTGTATAAATTCCTTAACAGGTTTGAGCACATAATATGAAGAAGGGAATTTCTTGTAATTCAATATAATTTCATCTGTAACAAAACCAAAATAAATTTTTAGTGGCAATGCAAGCCTTTTCCAGTAATATTAGAATTTAGACAATTAAAAACAAAATTATGTAATAATGAAAGAGCAAACTGGTCAAAATAGAAATTTTTCATAATTATTTTTAACCTCATTTGATTTTACAAATATGGACACCATCATATTTAATCAGTATCGATCACTTCATTTTACATTATTTTACGATTTTTTTTAATGTTGTATAATTCACGTAAAATTACCTTATACTACATTAATATTTGTACATATTAGCTTATAATTTTTATCGAGATTATACTTACTACCATTAAAATGAGTTAATAAGGCAAATTTTATGGTCAGAATAACCCTATTATGATTGATGTATATGTAGATATAGCTATAATAATGAAGCGAAGAAAGAACGACTATGTTCACACTAAAATTTAGGTGAATTACCATAAAAATAAAGGATTCATTATTTCCTTATAATGTAAGTATAATACAAAAGTACAAAGAAAAAAACCAACTCTTTCATTTGCATATAAAACTCTGTAGCCATAATATTTTTTTTTTTTATATAAATTTAAATATTCACTGCATTAATTTAAAACCTATAAAGAGCAAAAAAAAAAAAATATTGTATTATGTATAATATAAGCAAAATGAAAGGAAAAACTTAAAATTTTATACCACATTTTTAATAGTGCCCCCATAATAATATTTTTTATGTATATACATGCCAGCCAAAAATCGTTTCATATTATAAGCCAAACATTAATGAAATTCGACATGCAAAAATTTATACTTCCTTTTTGTTTACTTTAAGGTATTCGAATATATACACAATTTCACATAATATGTATTTTATTCTACATGTTATATACAATCATTCAAAACATACTAACTGTAATGAAAGTATAAACAGACCTGTACACTAACTAAATAATATCAGGAAAACCAAAACGACAAAATTGAAATTAACTATATAATGCGATATGTGTGTGTGTACTTTAAAAATTATTGTTGATTATTCAATATCAGCATTTATAGCGAATTCACACCATTTAAAGTATTCTTGTATTTGGTAATATAATTTTTTATATACGTACATACAGCTGATATGAGCAAATATATTATAATAATGGAAAGAGTGGGAAAATTTTTCTTTTAACTATATCTACATATTCTAAAATTTTATTCATAACAACCTGGTATGTTTAAGAAAAACACAAAATCAATGGTAACAGGAGCATGTTAAAAAAATTTTTTTCATTGGACTTTATTGTTTGTGGTCTTCCTTCCGTGTTTTATATTTTATTATAAAATTATTAGTATACTTACATATAGATATGTACTCGTAATATTATATTTTAAACATATCCTTTTTAAGGATATATTTTTTGTTTGATTAAAGGTAAATAACATTATTGTATGTTAGAGTAGTTTATTTTAAGTGCTATGATATAATTTAATTTTCTCTTCTGATATATTTTATTATTTTGTTTATATTTATTTAAGAAATTAGCGTTTTTCATTATATACTTTTGCTATAACTTACATTATTTGCTATTTTTACGATACTAATGAAAAAAAATATAATGATATAATTTATAACACTTGTTATTATTAAAATGAACGTTGAGGTTTGTTCTCAATTAAAAAAAATTTTCATAAAATGTTTTTATATCTATGGTTCATGAGTACTGAAAGGTTCATAATAAAGGGTATAAAAATTTTTTATATTAAACTGATATTATCGTAAATTGAAATTTTTAGAATATGAAGTTGAACAAATTGTCATTAACAACACTATTATATCAATAATGTTTGTCCTATGGTAATAGGGAAATATTAAATTTTTATTTAAAATTTGAAAACCGATACTTTTAATAAATGAAGCAATATTATTATTTCTAATAAAAATGTTGATATTATTCCAAAAAGAATACTCTCTTTTCTTAAAATTTTTGCTAATATATTATTTTGTGCGCTACATACACACTTTATCAAAGCTGATTTTCTTCCCAAAGACTTGCTGCGTTTAGGACAAAATTTATTAGCTAGATATTCAATTAAGTTGTGAATAGTTGCGATAGTTGCAAAAACAAAAATTAACATAACAATATTTTCCATTTTGACTTATTGTTTTCTTATTGACTTATTGCTTTCTTCATCTCTTAATCTTATGCGTAAAACTTCCTATTTCGAACTCCAATTTTGTGAAATTACCGCATTTATAAATTTACAAAAATGTTCTAATTGTATTCAAGTGCTCTCTCTTGTTACATATATCAAATAGTTTTGTTCCTTTGAGTGCTGTTCTATTGGTAGAATTAAAATTGTATTATTAATTAACATTACATTCTGTTAATTTAAAATAAATTTCAATTCAATATAAATAAAAAATTTTTTTTTAATTACTGATGATTTATTAAATTTATTTAATAAGTTTTACGGTAATTGGGTGCTCCAAATTATAAATTTCTTTTTTTTGTTAACTAAATTGCAATTTATTGTTCTGTAAATATTTTTTCATTTAATTTTATTAATACAACTTTGTATTATAATAATGACTTAATAAAATATTTAATTAGTACAGTGTAATAATGCGTGCCAATCAATTAAGTTGACACTATTTATAATTTACAATAAAATGATCAAAATGTACGGTTCAGTTATAAAAAATATGTAAAATATAATTATTTTGTAACACACTAATATTGTTTACAATTTTTTATATTATATTAATTAAAAAGTTAAAATTTATAATTAGTTTTCCTTTGCAAATAATTAAAAATAATTTTAAATAGACAAGAATGTTCGTATGAACGTTGTTTTTCAAATGAAAATTAATTAACTTTATTTATTTTATTTATTTTTTACATAATTATCGTAATTAATATCAATAATTAATTTTTTTGAAATTTGAGAAATTTTCACTCAAGGGCAGTTACATAATACTAAATTAAATAAAAGTGAATTACAATGAAAAAAATCGTAAAAAAATATTTATTTAAAAATTTAAATTCATATATTATATTATATTATATACATATGTATGTATAACAGAATGAACAAACCCTCTTTTTAGCACTTTTCCAAAAAAATTTTTGAAAAAAGTGCTTATTAGTTTCACTCTGTCCGTCCGTCCGTCCGTTCGTCCGTCCTTCTCTACAAAACTTCTACACCCTTTAAGATAGAAAGCTGAAATTTCATACGTACATAGATCTTTACTAGAAACTTATTTCCGTAGAACAAAATTTTTACCTATCTCCCCCCTCTAGAAGTTATACCCCCCCAAAACCCTAAAAATGGCCTTTTTTAAATATTTGTTGCAATGAAACCATAAGCATTTTTGAAATTTTGCAAACGCAGAAATG